CTTAAAAGGTACCTCAAGAAATGCAGAGGAAATCATAGAATTTACAAACAGAAAGTACTCTCAGGGGATCTGAGAACTCAACACAAAATATATTATTTTTAAAATTCAGGGGATATTTGTACATTGGGTATTTACCTTTGTTGCAAATATATCCATGAATGTAGTGAAGCATAGAGAGGAAAAGTTATAAAAACTTCTTGAACATTATAAGATACCTAGAGGGAATGAAGGAGCTCTGGTAGCATAGTGGTTACGAGTTGGGCTGCCAACCTCAAGGTCAGCATTTTGAAACTACCAACAGTTCCATGGGAGAAAAATGAAGCTTTCTGCTCCTGTAAAGATTTATAGCCTCGGTAACCCTGTGTAGGGTCACTATGAGTCCGAACTGACTCCACAGTACTTAACAACAACAACAACAACAAAAGAGGGAATGAGTAACTGGGCCTAGGGGCTTAGGACCACAGTCTCCAAGGACACCATGATCAGTTGGCATAACACAGTCCACAAAGACAATGTTCTACATCCTACTTTGGTGAGTAGTGATTATAGGGTCTTAAAAGCTCATGAGTGGCCACCTAAGGTGAAACTATTGTATTGGTCTCTCCCTGCCTGGAGGGAAGAAGAGAGATGAAAATCAATGACACATGGAAACAATTAAGCCAATGGAACTAACCATGTGACCATCAGTCTGTACCACCCTGAGACCAGAAGTACATGGTGCTCAGCCATCACTACCAAGTACTCTGAAAGGCACCACATTAGAAGGTCCTGGATAGAGTGGGAGAAAAATGGGGAGCAAAACTCAAAAGCATTAAAAAGACAAAACCTCATTGAGATGAAAATAAGTGATTTCTTTGATGTAAAACTGATGATCTACTCTATTAAACTCAAAAGCATTAAAAAAAAAAAAAAAGACTGGGCTTACTGGTCTGGTAGAGATCAGAAGAACCTGAGACTGTGGTCCTTGATCACCCTCCAGTTCTCCCCAAGCTCAATTTCCAGCCAAACAAGAGATAGGTCTAGAAGAGGAGTCCTGGTGTGGCTCTGTAGGATAAGCACTGGATAGCAAGTTTGGTTTGAACTGCAAGGTTGGCAGTTCAAATCCACCAGGCGCTCCTCAGAACCCCTATACAGGGTCGCTATGAGTTGGAACCAACTCAACAGCACTTAACAACAACAACATAAGAGGAATAATAACAGCAGTGAGGTATGACCACCTTAGAATAATCAACCATTTGAGATCAAAAGAGCAGCATTTACCCAAGGATAAAATTTAGAAAGATTAAGAAAGAAGGAGGAATGGAAACAGGAAACACAGGGATGAGTGATGTTACATTGTGGAGATTGCAATCAATGAGATAAAACAAAATGTGTATGAATTGTTAAATGGAAAAATACATATTATTTGCAAAAAGCATATTCTTTATAAATTAACTCATTCTTTATAAATTGTTGTTATGTGCTCTCGAGTTGGTTCCAACACAAAGCAACCCTGTATAGGGGTTCTGAGGAGCAGCTGGTGGGTTTGAACTACAGACCTTGTGATTGGAAGTCCAGTGCTGATCCTCCTAGTGTAGACCAGGAGTCCTCTTTATATATAGCCACTTGAAAATAGTTTTTATAAAGTCCACCAGTGCAAAGTGACTTTAATAATGTTACTATGATAGAAGTTGGAGCAGTACCCAGTCGGGTACAGCTGAGAACCTGTGAGCATCAAGTTCAGCTTCATTTGATTCATATCAGTAGCCCAAGACTAATGTACCAGGGGTATCTGGATGGAACCCATGGTGGCCATACAACCTAGGGCAGCACAGGGGAGATGGAGCTAGACAGTTTGTCAGCTGGACTTCAGTTCAAAATGAAGGCAGCTGCTGGCTGAGGTATGAACTTCATGTCTTTCTCTTTCTCACCTCTCCCTTTCCCACTTTCCTAGCCCTCTTCCCCTTGTCCACGCAAACTCCAGTTCCCTAAACCTTCCAGGGGTAAATGAACCATGGGTTCTCAATGGCTCATTTTCAGACTTAGATCACCAGTCCCTTATCTGTAAAGAGGAAGGCCTCTTGACCTATTTTAGTCTGTAAATTTAGCATAACCCCAACACGCAAGCTTCCACTGATAGATGGGTAGTAGCTGCACTTGTGGAATATTGGCCAGGAATTGAACCCAGTCTCCTGTTGGGTATATATTATTGTTGTTGTTAAGTGCCAGTTCCAACTCATAGCAACCCTGTATAGGGTTTCTGAGACTGTAATTCTTTGTGGGAGCAGGAAATCTCCTCTTTCTCCCACCATCTGGTACATTTTGTTATTCTTGCTAAGTGCCTTTAGTTGGTTCCAATTCATTATGATGCTAAGTAAGATTTCCAAAGAGTGGCTGGTGGGTTTGAACCACCAACATTGCAGTTAGCAGCTCAGTGCTTATCCTATCATACCACACTTAGTAAATTTTTGTGTCCTACCTGACTAACCCCTATTTCCTTAACATACAGTTATATTGAGTCAAAGTGTTTGAACACATTAAAGCTTATTATACATCTGACCAGATTGTTTGCCCCTATGACTGTACCAATTTATCCTTACACAGACGGTGTATGGGACTGCCAGATGCTTTGATGATAGGGAGCATATAACTGCAGAATCTTTGCTCTTTTACAATATGAAAAACAATACCATAGGCTTCTTAAAATTTGCTTTTTTGAAAACTATTAAGTGACTCTTATCTCCTCCGTGTCTCCATTCCTCTTCTTGTAGAGCAAGCCTCTCTTCTAAATTATTTCTATCCTTTACCCAATTTTTAGAATTAGTCAATATTTTAAGTTCTTAACAAAATTATTGTGTCCCGTCTCTAAATAATTTACATTAATTTGTATTTTAGCTATAATTTTAGGGATTTGTTTTCAGGAGTCTTAGGCAGCAATATAGAAAGTGTTTACCTGAAAGATTTTCAGTGCTTTTAGAAGTCCTCCAACCTCATTCTTTAAGGAAAAAATAAGAGTTGCTCTGCTCCTTTCTAGAGCATGTTCTCTGTTATCCTTATTGTCTTCAATCATGATGAATTGATGTGCTTCTCTAAAATGAAAACATGAAAATAAAGGTAAAGGACTATTTGATACCTTCTTCTGGTCTCCGTTTCCGCATCTGTAAAACATGGATATGCAGATTTGCTTTTTAAGACTGCTAAGAGACCAAAGTAAGATGAAATATTGCCTAGCACAGTACTCAGAATGTAATAACCACACCTACAAGTCATTTTCTTGCCTTTTTTCTAATCCAATTCTTCATTCAAGCCAACGAGGACATAGAGCTCTCTTCCTCCATGAAGGTCTATCCTCCCACACACAGTCTTAGCACTTGACTTTATCAGGCCTTTAGTTGCTTTTCAACTGTTTATTTACATATGTCTTATCTTCCAACAAGGCATCAAGCTCCTTGAGAGCAGAAGCTAGGCCTTCCATTTCTTTAATAACTCAAGAGCTTGGCCAGACTAAAAGGATAACTGCTAGCCAGTATATATTTTCTTTTTAAAACTAACACTCTGACAGGCCAATGGCAACTGGTACTTTCACTCTTGCTGAGAAAGACAATCAGCCCTTCTCCCACTGCGTTTCCTGGCCTGACTACAGAGACTACAGTTCGCAGCACAAGCCATAGGGAATAAAGGAGATATACCAAGAAGGAAGGTGGAAGATCAACAGCCCTGTGGTAGAGTTCAGGTCAATCTGGACACATTGATGAACTCTTTTCCCCCTTGGTTTAATCAATAAGAAGTGTAAAAAGAATTTATCTGATTTATGAAGCACAAAGTACTACCAAATTAAAGTCTTTTAAAAACATGGATGTTGTTTGAGTACAGAACAGTACTGAGAGAGAGCAAATACTCCAGAGAGGTATTAATTTTATTTTCTAAACAGTGGATAGGACTAAGAATGAAAATGAAGATGAGCTACAAGAAAAAGTACTGCCTATGGAGAAGCATCATCTGCGATTTCAGGCACAGGCAAAGGAAATGGAAATGCGAGAAGATACATCCCTATCTGAATATGATCTAATATTCACAAATGTATAATTTCAGTGACAAAATACATAAACCACAGATGGTAGTTTTACAGAAACATTGATAGTTACTTAAAGCTGTGCTCACATCTACTTTTAGACCAATAAAAAAATTCCATCTTTCTTTGACAATTATTTGACAAACACAAACTGTTACTGGGTTAGAAAGTTCAAGTCTAGTTCCCCCCACCCAAGTCAATTGTTGTTGTTGTTGTTGTTGTTAAGTGCCATTGAGTTGGGTCTGACCCTGAGCACCCCTGTATAGGGTTTCCGAAGAGCAGCTGGTGAGCTTGAACCACCGACCTTGCAGTTCAAACGGCTTTGCAGTCTGACGCATTAACCCACAACGCTACACCAAGTCAATTAGAGTAGATGTTAGTGGGGAGCTGATTAAACCTCTGTAAAAGTTAAATTTACCTGGACTATTCACTGGATTTGATCTACTGGGACCTGGGCTGGACCTCTGTGCAGTTGCAATTTTGTACTCGAGTTCATAAAGAGCCCTGGTGACGCAGCAGTTAAGTACTCAGCTGCCAACCTAAAGGTCAGCAGTTTGAACCCACCAGCTGCTCCACGAGAGTAAGATGTGGCAGTCCACTTTGTAAAGATCATAGCCTTGGAAACCCTCTGGGCCGTTCCACTCTGTCCTCCCATGTCATATGACTCGGAATCCACTCAATGCAATGGAACACCTTAGTCCCCGTGCTGGAGTGAAGGAGATAGGGTCAGGTGTTGTTGTTAAGTGCCGTCGAGTCGGTTCCGACTCATAGCGGGGTCAGGTGTGGGGCTCCCTTTTGGTGGGGGAGGGCGGTTGCCTACAGGAGGGGTCCATATCTATACGAGGAAAAGGAAGAAAGATGCTGCCCTCTGATGAAGAGGAAGGGAAGGCAGAACATGTTGTTTTCTGCTAACACCGAGGAGTCTCACGGAGTTGGGTTCAACTCCGAACCACAATTTCTTCATCTGTTGATGCTGTTGTTGTTTAGTGCTGCGGATTCGCTTCTGACTCAGAGCGATCCTGTAGAGGGTTTCCCAGGCTGTAAATCTTTGCAAGAGCAGAAAGCCTTATCTTGCTTCCATTCATCTGTATAACTCAGGAAATCTACCTTACATGCTGTATTGTGAAGGTAAACTCAGAAGATGTGCAAAATGCTCTCAAAAAAGTGTTTTGTTTTGTGCCAAAGAGGTTAAGAGGAAAGAGACAGGCGAGTAATTCACAGCTCTTAGATCCGCTCCCCGCAGGCACTTACGTGCTGGAAGAATACACCCACACCGGGTCAGCTCTGCGCCTCCAAGTCCTGGACAGCGGCTCCGGGTCCCCGCGAGAAGAGGCCAGCCCACTCACCTGGGCGCCGCTAACAGTCTTCTGGCTCAGTCCGCAGTC